TAGCATGCATGCACAGCAAAGCTCTGTCTAGTCCAGCGGTTGTCATGGCCCAGTAGGAGACCTCAGTAACCTTTCAAGGGGGATAAAGCATTCTCAAATTACTTATAAATAAGTACATGAATTAAAATAAATAAACAACTAATTTTTTTTAATTGACAAATAATTAAATGTTTTTAATTAAGAATTGAAATGCTAATTCTTGCCATTGTTTATTTATTTGATTGATTGATTGATTGATTGATTGTAGAATATAAGCAAGCAAAATTGACAATATTTTAATTTGTCTTCTCAAAACCTGACATCTAATTTGATCTAAAACATTTGCAAGAGATTTTTACACATGCTGTGTTTCCTTTAAACAGTTATAGGTAAATAGAGTGAACAGTGTGGCTGTTTTTTATTTTGTTTTCTTCCTTTTAAAATGGAACAATGTATTATTGTTAACTACTATTTAAATGTATTAAAACCAACATTAATAAAACTGCTTGAGCAGAAATGGAAACATCATAGTTGTGTAGGCAGTCTTTTAAATAATAACCTTTACTGTAGGGGACTTTGGAGTAACAAAGGTTGAGAACTGCCAGTCTAGATGTTGTTCTAATGTAATCCAGCCTTTCATGCAAAGTGTTAACAATGAAAAGCATTTTATTTCATTCCTATGCAACCTGTGACTCCTGATGGCACATCCATTCATTTTAGCCCCCCCATCTAACCTACCACTATGCACACTCTAAACCTGGTCCTGTCTGGACTCTTGCCCCCTGGCTCGCACCCACCTCCATAATCTGCCCTCCCCACAGGGCAGAGTGAGATGGGAAGCGATAGAGGCCCTCCACCGTGCTGCGATTATCAGGCCAGGAAGGCTCTGTGTGTGTTAAATGTGAAAGAAGATTATATGGATTTAACTCTCTGCGTCTGGCGTACAAATTCCAATCACATAACATATCCCTTCATGTTCTATGGGAATATAAAAAGAGAGGGAGAGAGAGTGATGGATGGAGAGAGAAAGAATCCAAACCCCCACCTTACCCAGTAAAAGCTTTAGCTCTAATCTCAGCCTTTCAATTCTCTAGCATCACTTTTTTCATGTTTTTCATTCTATGTTTTGCATGAATTTATATTTAACATTTTGCATGATTTTTTTTCTCATTAAAATAAATATTATCATTGTCCTTTGTAAGCCTTTAAATGGAGTAGCCTATAACTGTCAAAAGTAAGAATAACATTATTATAGTCATTAAATGAATAGAATATCTTCTTGTGTCTTTCAAAACCCATTTAACTTACTGTTTTGTGTGACACACACTAAGAAAGATATTTTATAGAATGTTCAAGCTGCTTATTTCCATACAATGAAAGTGAACTTTCATTGCATTAAAACAAGCTGCATTTTCATTTTTTGGTGAACTATTCCTTTAATATTTAGTGTTATTGGGCATGAATTCCAATTTCATATTTATTTGTATATATTGCAATGCTGTCTGTTCAGTATACGGAAGCTTATAGGTACCCCATTGATTTTAATGACATGGTAGCATGTCACCATTATTCTTTCGGACACAATGAGAATCACAAGAATGGGGGTTAATCCAGGAATTGTTGACATAAACCTGGTGGGGGGGGCATTAATTAAATGTAATTGCCTTAGAAGAAAATTCTCTTGCTTTGGGCTTGTGTCTCCCTTGGCTCGGAGCCAGAGCTGAGCTAAGCAGTTCTCTGAATACAAAAAGATACAGAGCCACCCCACCCGAACCATGTAATCCGTAATAGAGCCTGCAGATAATAGAGATGCCAGAATGGTAAATCGCTAAAATGCTGCCTTTAAAGGACATCATTAGCTATGCTGCTAAATTAGCACGCGTGTTAATTTACGCAAACCGCCACTTTTTTTCTCTTTTCTCACAGTAGTCCGGATTTGGTAATACACCAAGAGCGAATGATTGTCTGATCCACATTAGCTGTCAGAGAGGTTTGTAGATACATTGCGGGGGTTCTATGACCTATTTATTCTCCTATCAGATGGCAGCATTCAGCATGGCTCACACCGCACACATATTAGATTAGTGATATTCTTTAATGCCTGGCCTACAACTGTGCTGTTATAGCTGTCATTTGGGTTAAGGTTGGATAAGTCACTTTGGTAAGGAAGCATCTGCCAAGAACATACATAGGAAAGATGTGAATGGAGAGTAAAGATCCACTCTTGCTGTGGACAAAGTTGGCTTTTGTTTGGAAGCCTCACTGATTCTTGCATCTGGCTTTGCTCATTTACTTCTGTGTTTGCTTTTGTGGAAATGGCAGCATTTTCTGTTTTACAAGGAGTCATTTTAAAATTCTGTAGAACTTAGTCAGGATAGCGCCATATTTAATTTTTGGCATGAATGAAAATGAGATTGTGAGGGTTAGAACTTAGTACTCTACGTTAAATGGATTGTACTGTTCTTTACAACATACAGATTGGTCATCTTATGAAAGAAAAAAAAAACTTGTGAGTTAGCAAAAAGGATGTGATCTTTAATGTGTGCCATTGTAAAGATTGTAAAGGCCTGTTTACACCAAGAACGTTAACTATAAAGATAAGTATATAATATTGTCTGTTTATTCTAAACACAGAAATTCTCAAGCTCATTATATAAGGATTGATTCTGATTGGGTGTCAATGTTTTTATCATTCATCAACTGGAAAAAATAGTTCTGAATGTGATTCTAGCGATATCGTTTCTCTGTGCCTTTATCATTATTGCTGTGGTGTGGACTGTGCTATTCTTTGTTATTGAGAACGATTTTTAGAACTATATCTTTATTGTTGTCTTTATAGTTATCATCCTTGGTGTGAACAGGCTTCAAGTCTTTCCTTCACAGCCACGTTTACGTACGTGTTAAATTCAGTATGGCGTCTAGCCTGACTAAGATGCTAAAGAATCTTGGGTACATTTCTCAAAAGTATAGTTAGCCAACTATGGTTGCAAGTTATGTCGTTATCAGCATAGTTCAAAGATTTGGTGTTTACCGAAACCATAGTTCCAAGTAATATTCGCTAACAGTATTGGAACTACAGCTCTCGACTTGTGGTTAGAAGTATAGATTAATTATACATCTTTCAGTTTATCAAGAGATGGTCAACACAGTTTTTCAAGAGTGTGAATGTGCTAGTTCGAATTACAGATATGCGACAAAGTACACATATGTTGAACCAACTTTTCCAAATGATGGATGTGCAACAAAGTTACTGAGGTTTTGGGATACAGTTGTGAATAGCTTCAGTAGTTAATTTCTCGTGATGTCAGTCATGACGTCAACATCAAAAATGTCGGACCAACTTGTTCCGAATGATGGACGTGCGACAAAATATCTGTGGCATTGAGATTCAGTTATGACTAGCTAAAGTAGTTAATTTTTCCAGTGATGCATCATACTATCGTAGCTAAGCATCAGTTGTGACGTCAACATCAAATATGTCGAATCTACTTGTTCCGAAAAATGGATGTGCGACAAAGTAACTGCAACTTTGGAAAACAGTTGTGACTAGCTACAGTAGTTAATTTCTCCAACTATGCATCATACTATGGTAGATAAGCATCAGTCGCGGCGTTGACATAAGATATGTCTAACCAACTTTTTCCGAACGCCGGACGTGCATTAAAGTAACTGCAGCTTTAGGAAACAGTTGTGACTTGCTACTGTAGTGAAAAGCTGACCTAGCTTCCCCATATAGATTGTGCACTTGGTAAACGACAAACAAATAATAAGATAAAGGACAATTTTTGGTTACATCATCTTCCCAATCCAGTGATTGATTTCTAAATTTGAATTTAGTTGTGCTGACCCAGTGGGAACGTCTCTGGGATAATCCAATCAGAGCATGGCGTGCACTTTAGCAGACATGAATGTGAGGTGGAAGTTTGCCAGAATGACACGCAGTGCTTCTTTTACGATTTCAAAGTGCCGTAACTCAAAGGTACAAGTATGCATTGGCCCCTTTACCTGTCCAGGTGTTGATTTGAAGAATAAAATTCTTTGGTCACTTCGCAACTGACCATGTTGTCTCTCTTCCAGTGCACAGCGAGGATGTGGTCTCAACGCGGCTGTACTTTGTGAATGCTTCCCTGCAGAGAGTGACCTTCTCCAGCTCAGTGGGGGTGTCCCTGCCCTGTCCTGCGGGTGGCGCCCCCCATGCCGTCCTCCGCTGGTACCTGGCCACTGGCGACGACATCTACGACGTGCCACACATCCGCCACGTTCACGCAAACGGCACGCTGCAGCTCTACCCCTTCTCCCCCTCTGCCTTCAACAGCTTCATTCATGATAATGACTACTTCTGCACTGCCGAGAACCAGGCCGGCAAGATCCGCAGCCCTAGCATCCGTGTCAAAGCAGGTGAGACATGATCCCATCCATCCATCCATCTGTCTGTCTATCCATCTATTTAATGTATTTATATGGTGGTGTAGTGCAGTGAGTAAAGGTCAGGGTTGGCAACCACTAAGTTTCTTAGTCAGATCTCACAAGGAATAGGCCATGACCGATTCTCACTATAACTTAAGTAGTTGCTTATTAGCATGCATATTAATAGCATATTGACTGTGTATTAGTACTTATAAAGTACATATTAATGCCTTATTCTGTAAGACCATATTTTAGATCCCTTAGCCATACCCAATACCTAAACTTAACATCTACCTTACTAACCGGCAAGATCCGCAGCCCTAGCATCCGTGTCAAAGCAGGTGAGACATGATCCCATCCATCCATCCATCTGTCTGTCTATCCATCTATTTAATGTATTTATATGGTGGTGTAGTGCAGTGAGTAAAGGTCAGGGTTGGCAACCACTAAGTTTCTTAGTCAGATCTCACAAGGAATAGGCCATGACCGATTCTCACTATAACTTAAGTAGTTGCTTATTAGCATGCATATTAATAGCATATTGACTGTGTATTAGTACTTATAAAGTACATATTAATGCCTTATTCTGTAAGACCATATTTTAGATCCCTTAGCCATACCCAATACCTAAACTTAACATCTACCTTACTAACTATTAATAAGCAGCAAATTAGAAGTTTATTGAGACAAAAGTTGTTGTTAATAGTTAGTTACTAGTGAGAATTCGTCCCCAATCTATAGTGTAAGCACAACTTGGTTAGTCGTTATATATAAAACCTTAATTCTGTCAATAGCTGGTGGACAGAGAAATTTTCTTAATAAATATGAATATAACTATAAATAAATATATTTGTATACACTACCTTTTTGTGTTTAGTTTTAGTATATACACTACCAAGTGAAATTAATACTTTTATATTAATATATTAATAATATAAAATAAATTAATACTTTTATATTAATACTTTTACTGTCATAAATCACAGTAAAGACATTTGTAATGTCAGAAAAGGTTTGTATTTCAAATAAATTATGTTTTCTTATTTTTATTCATTAAAGAATTCTGGGAAAAATCATATAAATATTAAGCTATATTAATAAAATAAATATTAATTATAACTTTTTCTATCAACTTTTACTATTTAAAAAATATTAAAATAAAGTTATTTTTTACAGTGTAGTACATTTTTAAAATATTGTTGTTTATGTATTACTGGTAATGTACTGCTGTAAATGCACAAAATGAACATTAAAGTCTTCTATCAAAAACACTAAAAATCTTACCGGCCACAAACGTTCTATTTGTACTTTTATATAAAATCTCCATTTCCCAGTGAAAAAGTGAAGCAATGTCATGATTTCATTCATTATATTTCAGTGTTCCTCATAGTTTGGAAGTTTAAAAAGAAGAAAATGCCACGTGCCGCATGGATTTATGTGCTTAGTTTTTCTGTAGGATCATTCTCAACACTTACATCTGTGATGGTCTGATTATCTCTCTTACAGTTTGATGTGTGTTACATAGCAGAAAAGAGCATAGTTAACACAGGCGCTGTGGCAGAGGGGGGCGCGTGACGTTACAGGTGGAACATGAGTTCTTAACTTAACATCTGCAGTAACAGCAGAAGTAGCAGCCGCCATATTGCTAACCTAAATAAGAATGTAAGTGCCAAATGGATGTCCCAGTGGCCGGCATGTTGACCTGGCTGCTTTAAAAAGCAGTGCACAGACGGGCACACGGCGCTACAGACAGTTGGCTGACTGACCCTCCCACTCGGTGTCAAGGTCACCGCTCGTGAGTGGGGCTGGCCGCCCAGCAACAGCGAGGGATATCCATACACCTCCCTACACTCACACACTCACTCTTATGCCAGCCTGCGCAGTGCCAGTGTCCCTCCTGTCTCCCAGTCTCCATCTGTCCTCTAAGCTAGAGTTCCCATCTCACAAACACGCACATGCACGCACACACACACACGCGTACGCGTTCACCTACTCTGAATTTCCCAGAAATAACACCATTGAGCAACGCCGATCTCACACCTTCATAAATAACGTCAGCTTGAACGATTCTTCAAATGTAACCAGGCGTGTTCGGCCCATGCTACTTTTTCCACCTTACCCACATTAACATTAAAGTCTCAGAGGATGGAATGAATTACCTACCAACCGGCGACAAGACGGGGGTGACTTTCGCCTCAAATAATTACACTAATTAATCAATTAAGTGCTGAGATGCAGCAAAACTGCTAGTGGACCTAGCAACCCACACAGAGCCCTGAGGAACCCAACACTGGGGCTCCCTCACCAGCCAATCAGATCCTGGCACTGAGGGGTTACCATGGGTACGGTGAAGGGAGGGGCAGGGTGTGGCGCTGAATGTCTCAGGTGGCACTGGAGAATGATGACAGCTGACAGCTCACTGTATGACACCATCCCCCCCATGCATGTCTCTGTCTCTCTTTCTCTCCCTCCTTCTCTTTTCTCACCCATTCTCCTGCATGCTGATCCTGTGCCAATAATAGCACGGGCACCTGTGTGGATAGCTCTACATTTATGAAAATCTCCCTATGAGGGCTTCATATGAGTGTGTGTGTTTCTCCTTGCACTCACTGTTCATTTTTTCATTTAGCCTTTTACAGTGTCTATACTCTTAGCATGTCAATTGTTTGTGTCCCCGTTTTCCTGTATACTATATGCAGGCTATCCATCCGTCCATCCGTCTATCTATCTATCTATCTATCTATCTATCTATCTGTCTATCTATCTATCTATCTATCTATCTATCTATCTATCTATCTGTCTGTCTGTCCGTCTTGCGTTACTTCCCCAAAGATACGAGGGAGAAATTAAAATCTGTAAGTAAATAGATGTTGATGAAAGACACAAAGCAAATTGAGTCCCTGAAATTAAAATGAAATTCAGCGCCTCCTTTAATCTGCTCGCGCTCCCCTGTCGCCCTTTACCGTAGGACGATCTCCTCGCCCGTAAATAACATCTTCGTACCCCGCTCGCTTTGTGTGTTCTTCTCGTCTATTGATTTTTTCGTCCGGGTTCCGGTTGTCAGGTGCAGAGAGGGTCCCTTTAGTGGGGGCAAATGTTTCTGACAGCTCCAGAGGTTGTGCAGTGTCGTCCACTCGCCGCCGTCTGCATGCATTGCCAGGGTGATTTATAAAAAGGCCACTTCTTGACTATCTATCTATCTATCCATCCATCCATCCATGCATCCATCCATCTACCTACCTGTCTGTCTGTCTGTCTGCCTCACTGTCTTTCTATCTATCCTTTGACTGAGTATAGTGGGAAGCAGGTAATTGACAGGAGGTTAAAGACGAGTTAAATGCAGAAATTTGCTTAGCAGAAGCCATGCTATATTAACTATATCACCTCTATAATCCTAAATACACAGTAGCATGTTTAATGGAGAGTGTCGTACATCCTGTATTGAGTTTGTCTAAAGTCAGCTCCAGGGTTAACACAGACCCCGTGCGACGAGTGTGGCAGGTGCACTGTGACACAGGCTCGCTCTTCCTCTCTTTCAGCCCTTTGTTTCTTTGGCTTCCTGCCTCCTGAATGGTCATGTTCATTTTTTTTCCACCATTACATTAATGAGCACCTTTCACCACCTCATTCTTATTCAATTTGGATCTTTTCCCCTTTTTTATACGTCTTGCGTCATGAATAAGTAAATACGGTATTTGGTTTCTCTCAAGTTAATTATTTAAACGATAGTGATACAGGACTCATTCCTCCTGGTGTGCGCAAAAGGAGAAAGAGAGCACCAGCCCGTGTGTCAGTCCGTTTCCAAGCAACCGATGAGTATAGTCAGGCATCAGTAACATTCTAATGATGCCGCACATGAAGACGGAGAGTCATTTGCCTATAAAAAATGCTATCTGCTATTGTTGTCTGCAAATTCATCTGTGAATTTTACGCATGCATTATTGAAGCCTCAGAGATGTTTTGGCTTGTTTATGCTCCTTCGACCGCTGTAAAACAACATTCCACAACCAGGTGTAGCGCAATCCGAGTTGAGGTGAAAATAAAACTAGCTAATAGAGGTCCGCTTTGAGTTAGTTTATCTTTAGAAATTCAATAAAGCCCGAGACTCGCAGTCAGTCAATCAATGACTGAATAAATGATTATTTGTAGACTATGGAGTCCTGAGTGTAATAGGGAGTTCTATTGATTTGTTCTATTGATTCAAATCTCATCTTTTTGTTTTGATTCACAGAAAAGGACACTCTTCTGGGAAAATATTATATTTTTTCTTGAATATTAAATTGAAATATATTATATAACTATTAATATTATTGTTGTTATTTTATTTAAATTATTGTAAACAATTGACTGTAGTGTTATTATTAGTCCTGTCAAGCGATTAATCGCGATTACTCACATCCAAAATAAACGTTTTTGTTTACATAGCATAAGTGTTTGTACTGTGTATATTTATTATGTATATATAAATACACACACATACAGTATATATTTTGAAAA